TTATATGCATGTGATTTAAGCCAGTGTAAAACTTACTTATATACAAGTGATTTCAGCAAGTGTAAAGCTTGCGTATATACAAGTAATTTCAGCCAGTGTAAAACCTGCTTATGTACGGGTGTCATACACAGTGTGAACTTTTCAGCCAGTTAATGTCAACCAGTGTAAATGTTGTACTAACATTAACGTCATGTCAATAAAACCCTTGTACTTATATAAAGGAGCTATCAGCCGGAGTAAACGTTGAACTGACATAAAGGGATCCCGGTACAATATCGTGCCACTCTACTGATCTAACGATTTCCAAGTATTTTGCGTGTATCTGTGACGCATCACTATGTTACCGTTGGGCTTTGTCGTGTGTGATTAGTATTTGTTTATTTTCTATTCCAGGTGATTGAAGGCTGAACCTCAGAACGCCATGGACTCTACAGTTCTGTTTTGGATCGTTTAGCTAAAACCAGAGTGTTGATTTTCTTATTTGCGATTTCCTCACGCCATTGGGCGCAGTATTGACCACACCGTATTGCCCAAGCTTTATGGGGAGATATGTCTCATAGGACATGCCGAACGACAATCATTAATAGTGAGATTATTTCACCTTTGATGCAAATCGTGTTAGGAAATTTCCTCTACTGGGAATTCTTATGAATATCATGGATTGGTCAACTAGAACGAGCGATGGTGGCTCCCCCGCCGCACGGAGCGACGTGTATGATAGCTCTACGCTGCCGTATCTATCCCTGTATAGTAGCAGCAGCATTAAGTTTCAGGACAGTCAGAGTATAAGTTTGGCTTCGTATGTAAACATGGGTAATTTCAGCGCGAAAAAAACTTTCCTAGCGTCCTACGATACCGTGGACGATAACATCACAAACTCATCCTTTGATGCTGATGCATTTCAACTAAAAAAGAACAACTCTGTGATGAGTGCTGGCATTATGTTCGGTACGGGTGTTATAGGTAATCTATTGGCCATTTTTGTGTTACTACGGTCAGGACCGGAACAAAGGAGAACCATATTCTACAGACTCGTCGCTGGACTCACAATCACAGACCTCATAGGAACCACGCTAGTCTCTCCAGTCGTCATAACGGTTTATTTAAACGATTTCAAATGGAAGGGAGGACAGATGATGTGTAGTTATTTTGGATATTCTATGGCATTCGCTGCTTACGCTACCATGACGATTGTGTGCGCAATGTCCATAGAAAGGGTCATCTGTATCAAGCATCCATTTTTGTATCAAAGTCGTTTGTCAAAGAAACACGCCACAATTTTTTTGTCGTGTTGTTGGATATTCGCAGCGACCATAGCAGCCCTTCCCCTGGTCGGGTTCGGCGAGTTTGTCCTGCACTACCCGTATACGTGGTGTTTCTTTGACTATTATACCCCAATGCCCATCCATAAGGGGTTCAACTGTCTGTTCGCGGGCCTGGCACTCCTCATCATATCTACGACTTTTATGTGTAATATGACCGTCATGTATACATTACTTAGCAGCTGGAGAAAGAAAAAGATATTAAATGGAAATTCTAGGAAGTACAATGGATACAATAAAAGGTTTGCCGAGTTGCAGATGCTGGTTCTTCTGGTAGGAATTACGGCAGTGTTCAGCACCTGTTATACACCGCTAATGGTAAGTACTGAGTAAAAACAACTTTTATTACCTTATACCTCTTACGGTAAGTAAAAATGTATCAGACAAGCGAGGGAACATTTAGCTTCCCGCTAATTTCTAATTTTAACCGTTGCGTTATTCGCTTGTTAACTAACATAACGACTGTATATGATTGTGGCATATTCGTTCACTTGTCAACTTTTGTCGAAATTGTCATCTCAAGAACCATTCTGTATTTTATCCATGTTTAACTTACCACTCTATGTGGTCACTTATATAAATCCCTACTAAGGCCTACCTTATTCAGATGGCATTCATATCAGCTATATATGCCAAGACCCACATCTTTACAACATTGGACAAACGGACCCTCCCTCTCCTATTCCTTACAATAAACAAGCACACAAAAAGTCTTCACTTATTTGAAATAAACGCTAACATTTGACAAATTGTTTGTATTTAGAAGAGATAAAAAAAAACTAAATGTTGAACATAAGCAGTGATTTTTTTTCAGTTGGAATTTGTAGTTAATGTAATTGACAACTACATGAAACAGAAAAAAAAACTAAAATTCTGTTGCACTTAATGGAATTGATCAAGTTTCAATGGGCATTCGCATTGACTAGGAATGTTAAATGAATGCTGTTCAATATGATGTTATACGTCACACGGTAAGGTGTGTAACTCGTAGATACAGGAACGCTGCTCCGTTACGTATACACTCGTAAGCTACAGCATTACGTACACAGATCGATGCTGACGTCAAACGAGAGCCACTGTGAGACTCTCCAGGAGCCTCTTCAGTCCACGGGTCATTTCACCTGGCGTAAGGTCACGATCATTATGGCCTCATAATTAGTAGTAAGGCACGTGCGCCGATAAATTTACATATGACCACGGATAGAAAGGTAGGCTCTGAAGCGCTTGATACTCGTGTCATCATTGGTTTCTTGAGACATGTATAGGTCATTCATAAAAGAGCACTCGTGGTAGTGTCATAATATTTACGTCAAAAAGTAAAGAAAACGTTATTTTTTTTTGTCTTTTGTCCCTCTATGAGATATGATAATGACCTCCTCATTCTCAAACGGTCGATACTTGCTCTATAGTTATGATCATATATTATTATAATGGCTGATCGTTCAGTACATATTTTCTTACATAATTGGATTTCGCTGCTTGCTATATGCTAGTTTTGTTTCGCGAGTACAGGATCTTTAATATTTCATGCGGTCACATGTTCATAATACATAATTGAAATATGATCGATCCTTCCAGATTATCTACCTTGTAATAAGCATTCACTGTGATACCTTTTAAATATTAAATGTGCAACCTTACAATCAGTCGCATATAACCTACAAGCAAAGATGCATGTTATTCTTTAAAACTCGTTCAATGAGGCGAAATGCGGTATCAGTGAGATGGAACTAAGAGTGCCTCTTTGTTCATTATTTTTGTGTTTGGTTGCGTCGTGGCTGATAAAACCTCCCACGCCGTGCTTCCTTTAGGATGCTAATGTGTACTCACCTCAGGTGTCAATTAGTGCGTCGGGAAACAAAGAGCCAGTAAACCATAATGATAAACATTGAAGCCTAATGAATAGAAAGGGAGAGGAATCACGCTCGTCATAGAACGTAATATACACCGCAACCACTGATCGTGTCCGAAGTCGATTAGCTTGACCCCAAACATGCACCGCTGTGGCCATGTCATAGTAAGCACGAGAGTAGATCAGTGTTTATGTAAATGATGGATATCTCAATGTGTTCGCGTGCCAACTATCACTTGTCCTTATCTGTAATTATCCGGGATGGGGAGCATCAGAACCGACCCGGTGACCCATTGGTTTGTTGGTCAAACCCGCATATATACCTACACTCGGAACACCTCGGCTATTTTAAGACAAACTAGTGTTTTAATTGCTGGTTGTATATTATAACTGGCATTAAGAACGACCCGACTGACCTTTACACCGTGATGTCATAATGAACCGTATGGAACTATATGTCATATATTTTGAGTCTGCAGATAAGTAAATGTTAGAGATAGCGCCTGGTTACACTTCTACCTGGAAGCATTTGAAGTACAAGTATGGTTGTGAGATAGAAGACAGTTTTTATAGAGTATGAAGCAAAAACGTGTAGGAAAAACACGTGCATTGCTACCTAATTTTGCATTTTGATACCCAACAGCACAACTGCCAGGATTGAAGATTTCTCACTGCCAACGATAGGTATTTAATTATATCATACAATAGTTCTTCTAGGAGGCACGCGTATATTTAATTTACTGCGTGAACCATTTTCATTTTGTTTTTTTATTTAGAATGAATTTAATTATTGTATCAATACAGACAATAGTCACATATAATAACACATATAAACCTTACAGACTGAAGAATTTGTTCTTCATTTTGAAGAATTAATTGAATTTTTTCATAAGTATAATGGCTTACTAATGACGAATCTCTGTTACATGTTTAAGTATGACGAATCACTGTTTTACCTGTTTTAGTATGACGAATCACTGTGTTACCTGTTTTAGTA